TCTTTAAGGCAATCATTGTAACTTCTGTAAAGTCCTTGGGCCACTCCCCAGTTCCATATATGGTGTTCATTAGTTTTGTCAGAGTTTTCAAACCACCTTCTCCCAGTAACTTAAGCACATCTCCAGGTACATCATCATCATCTCCTCTAGCCTTTCCCTTCTGCATTTCCTTGATAGCTTTTTCCACCTCACTTTATAAAATATATGGTCCTTTCTCGTCTGTATCTACTTCTTCCGGTTCAATTTCTAAGGTTTCTGGCCAATTAGATCGATCTTATAGTTCTGTAATATAATTTTCCCAAATTTTCAGCACTTGCCTCTGATCTACTATTCTATTCCCCTGGGAGTCTTCGATGCCAATATTTTGAATCCCATGATTCTCTTTCCATCCTAGTTCTTTTGTCTTCATGTACATCAAATCATAACGTCCTGTTCTTTGAAATTCTATAATCTCATTACATATCTTCTCAAGATATTCCTATCTTCTCAAGATATTCCTTTCTGGCCTTGTCCATGGTTCTTTTCAATTCATTCCTCAGTCTCCTGTATTTCCTCCTGCCTTCTTCATTGTTGACATTCTTCCATTTCCTTCGCTCCTCCATTTTACTCATCATCTCCTGTGTAACCCATGGTTTTCTTGCTATCTTCTCAACTTTACCAACCAAATCACTGATAGTATCTAACATGCATTCTTTTATATTGTTCCACTGCACTTCAGCATTTCCGCTTTCACCTTCAATTGCACCGAGTTTCTCTTCTAGGGTCTCCTGCACACTTCGTCTTTGAGCATATAACTTCTCCAAATCCCATCTAGGTCTACGCTTTTGAAATCTTATAGTTTTCTTCAACCTGGTTCGGAACTTGGCAACCAGTAAGTTGTGGTCAGAGTCAATAGCTGCCCCAGGCAGCGTCTTCACATCCTTCACACTGTTTCTGAATCGATGTTTCACAAGGATGTAGTCCAGCTGATGCCTCCTCCAACCCCCAGGTGCCTTCCATGTGTAAATTCTTCTCTTTGGCTTCTTGAACCAAGTGTTGGTGACATAATGATCACTATTGAAGCACAGAACAGTAAGCTCAGTTCCAGTAATGAAAATGTCTACACAAAGTTTTGTAGTTTCTTAGACACTCTTACTGCAGCTATATCCTGCATAGGCCACTAAAGAATATCAACACTTCAGGCTTTCTCTTCACGCAAAAGAGAACTCCTGAGGGTCAAGTCTTCAGATAGGAACTGAAGGTGGGCACAAATGCTACAGTACTTATAAGCTGTGCACAGAATGTGATTTTTCATAGCTGTCTGTATTGCTGTATAATTATTTTTATCAAGAAAACAATTCCTGATATAACGATATATAGTAGCTGAAACTTTAGAGAAGGAACAACATTCAAATAAAGAAATTAAAATTAAGAGAATAGATCAAACTAAGTGATGGCCTTATTTGTTTCAGCCTCTTGGACCATCTTCAGAGGCATGACAGTAAAAGGGATTTGTTTTATGCCTGCCATAGATCTTAAATATCGTTCATATTTATGAATTATATTTATTCTATAAAAAGTATTTCTTTAAAGTTTTTACGGTAGAAGTATAGTTCGTTGAGTCTTCTTTTATACAGCACATCATATCTTCTGTTTTTTGCCTTAATAGCATCCACATCAGCACACACACTGATACTATACACAAACAGCAGGTAAGTCAGGTATGGGAGTTGCTACTTATCTGTATTAATTATATATATATATTTGGTGAAATCATGTGAGGAGTACTGAAAAACTTTTCACTTGTTATACTTGCATACATTTTTAATAAACTGTAATATAACAAGCCTAACATCACGCAGTAAACAGAAGGGAAAATTGATAATTTTACTTCAAAAGCATTTAATAAACGCCTTTCTATATAACAAAAATTATAACTCATAACTGTGAATCACATTTTAAGAACTACGGGTGTAAAACTCGTTTCTCTTTATTGTCATGGGTCTCAGGATGGCCCCAAGGGACTGAAACATGTGAGGCCATACATCTAATTTGATCTCTTTCACTGGGTGGCTTGGTATTCCAATAATTACTAAAAGAAATAAAAGTTTACTTGATTTGTTGGTGCTGGTAAAATTGATGTGCATGGTGACTTAAATGAAATCTGTTTAGTACAAAAATATTTCTAACAACTCAAAAGTATTTAGCCTAATTTTGTTTCTTTGAAAATGTACGCTTATGAGGTCATCAGGTTTTGTATAAATTCCTGTCTGCCTGTAACATAATACCATAATACTAATTTTTATGTAAATTTGTATTGTAGTCTTGTAGATTATGACACCATATAGTTTGGTTGGTACATACCAACATTTTTGAGGAATTTACTGCCTCCATCTTCATGATAGAAGGCTGTATGATCCTCTGAAATGCTGCTACCACATTCCGAACTGTGTGGTGCCATAATACAGAAGACAAAAATATGAATTGTTACCTCCATGAAAGGTCAAGCCATTTATGTAAATGATAATTTTTAATGACCTAATTTAGTGATTCTGATTCTCACAGTAGTGACTTTACAGGCACAACATGTAGCCCAGTCAGTAATTAGAGGCATTTTGGAGGAACCTACTGCCTCTGTCTTCAAGGTACACTGACTGCATGACATCCCATTCCAGAAGGCAGTAGTCTAATACATTATGACCACAAGAGTGAGCTCACTTCTGATGAAGTTTCTTGTCAGATTAATACATGATTTTAATACAAGTTTCTTCTTGTGACAACTTCCACATGCCTTCCTTTAAAATTCCCTTTATATGCTTGTTCACATGCACGTTTATATAGAAGTAACATACAATTGTTGCAGGCCAGAGAAATCCCCAGTTCCTGCATATGTCCTGGAAACTATAACAGGTTTGTATTTATGCAGCTAAGATAGCAACCATGATTTATAGAGAATCAGAGTATCATAACATTGGTTTTGCTGCTTTTCCTCTTTGGAAATTTAATAGAGCTGTTCTTTACTCTATAACCTCATTTAACTCTGTAAAATTGTGGCATGTGTTTGGTAAGTAGACATTTCAGCATCCTGTTGCATTGAAGTATCATTTGCAGATGTCTGTCCATCTGCGATGCAGCAATATTAATATAGATTTATGTGGCACCAGTCTACATTTAACCCACTAAAATTTTCCTCAGAATGTTTAAAATGTCGTTAAAATGCACAGGTTGGATAAAGAGTACTGACAACACCTCTAGAGTTCTGAAATGACTTTATTACCTGAGGTAAACACACTTACATTCCTTCAATATAACCTCCCCCCATGTGTTCCACCTTCTGCCACATTTGTGAAAGGCGTCGTACACCATCAGTGCATCCACTTCTGTTGATGTCCAACGGTGACTGCCCTACATCATGAATAATCTCTCTTGTGTTGTAACGTGTCCCTCGCAGTGATTCTTTCATTTTGGCAAAGAGATCATAATTGCATGAACTCATATCAGGTGAGTATGGCGGATGTTGCAGTATCTCCCATCGCCAGTGGCGAAGGAGATCCTTGACAGCGTCAGCAGTATGAGCCCTTGCATTGTCATGAAGGATGATGGGGTTTGTTGCCAACAAGTGTCATCGCTTTCTCCTGAGTGCTGGACGAAGATGATTTCACAGGAAATTGCAGCAGTAGGCAGCGTTTACTATCTGTTGTTGAGGTACAGTGTGGTACAGTATCACTCCATCAGTGTCATATGCCACAATGAACATCGCCTTCACATTACTCTGTGTACGATGCACTTTTTTGAATGAGGAGAGCCAGGATGCTTCCATTCATTTGAATGTCACTTCAAGTGCGGTTTATATGAGCAGGCCCAAGTTTCGTCTAGAGTGACAATCCTTCCAAGGAAGTCATCACCTTCCCTCTGGTACCGGTCCAACAAGTCCTGTGCAATTGCATAACGTTGCCATTGTTGCACCTCGGAAATTGTATGGGGTACCCAACGTGCTGCAGTTTTGCGGTATCCAAGAATATTGTGCAGAATGTGGAGCACGGTTTTGTGAGATACGCCTATCTCAGCAGCTAACTCCCGCACAGCCCATCGACAATCAATATCCAGCAAAGAAGCAAGAAGCTGAATTGTGTGGTTGTCAACATGGGGTCGTCCTGAATGGCATCCCACCCTTCACGGAACAATTTCACCCATCGTGCTGCTGTGTGATATGGCAAAGCAGCATCACCATGTGCTTCTCGCAGTCGCTGATAACAGTTTTGTGCACTACAACCTTGTGCAACTTCAATTTTTATCTAGGAGCATTGTTCTTGTTTCGTAAACATGTTAGGGTGCTTGAACTGGGCTCCTGCACTTCAAGTCANTCTGTCGTCTGACAGATTACTAATGAATGATATATATAGTCTGTGTTAGGCACTACACATTTCGGCCTCACAGGGGTATCCTCAGGCAACACACTATTTAAGGAATACACTGCACTGTGCACTTTTGTCAGTAGTATTCTTAATGTGCCTGATTATTTTTATGTTCTGGGATTTCTGTTCTTCCTATTCCTGCAATTCAGCAGTTTTGTGCTCCATTGAACGTGCTGCTCCCCTTGGTTGTGTGTATCTTTTGTAGATTTGTGTTCTTTATACAAGGATGAACAGTCTTAAGTAGAAAGCAATATGATGTATCAACCCACCGCTAGGCAACGGCTCGATAAACACGGCCCCGTGAAGACAGATTCTTGGTAAACACTCCATTGTTAAGTAACGCGTACAACCCTACACAACAAATAACGGCCATGCCCAGTGCTAGGCAACAACTGTAAACACGTCTGCAATAATAGGTGTTTTCTATGGTGTCCGTGTCAAAAGTTTATAGGGGACACTGAAGTTTGTTCGTGGCTAGTCATAGCTTAGAAGATGTGAGTTAAGGACACAAAGCCATCATGGAAAGGAGTTATGAGGATTCAGCTGTGAAGTGTTTACAAACATTGAAGACTTATGTGCTGTATTTACAGTAATCTTGAGAGTGTAAGAACTAATTGTAGTTATGACATGTGAGTATCTAATGAATTGATTCTTCTGATCTAGAACCCATTACTTTTGTGACATACACTTCCTGCACATGACAGTATGCTAGAATGTCCCATTTTTCTGAAATTTGGATCAGTTGAAAATGTCAATAATTTTGGACTGAAATTTAAATTGATTCATTTTTAAGGCTTAACTTTCTTTGTTCCAATTTCTAAATGCATGGGCGTTGGATACTTCTTTACAATAGCCAGTAATTAATGAACCTATTTTTTTTTTTTTTACAGAAGGAGCAGAAATTGAAGCTGAAGTTGAACAGGTATGTCCATCGATGTGCTCATGAGTGGAAGCCTCCTTACTGCAAGAAGTGCACGCTAGTTACACCTGTTGCATACTTTAGGAATGTGGATTATCATTGAAATTATAACTGGCAAGGGAAATCCGAATTGAGTATGGGAACCTAATGTGAGAAGGTGTCATATTTCTGAATCTAATTACAGGAAAGGGTTTACCTGTCTTAAGACAAATAAAATATAGAAAACTGATGTTCAGCATATCTGAGCTGTAAAGAATAGATGCATGATGATGGTGCATATTTCTCACATCTCCGATACTTTGTAAGGTAACACCTCAACAGTTTCAGTCCACAGGTATTCAGATCATTAAATTTGTGACACCTTAGGGCACTGGTTCTCAAATTGTGGTCTGTATAACCCTAGGGATCTGTGACACCTGGCCAGGGGATCCATGGAATTATTTTTTTGCTTCCAGTTATAGGTTAGGAAGGAAAATTATTGCATTGAATATTTTTAATGTTTTACAAAATCTGGTTAACTGGAATAATTTTTTTTCCTGTGGCGCTACAGCCCCAATTTGGGCCTAGGCCTACCTCCATGAAACTCTCCGTTTCACTTTGGTTTACTAGATCTTACACATACGGTAGGACTCCTTGGGCGAGTGATCAGCCGTCACAAGGCCTCTACCTGTAGACAAACACAGAAAAACGCACACAAACATCCATGCCCTCAGTAGGATTCGAACCCATGATCCCGGCTTCCGAGCGAGCGAAGACAGTGCATGCCTTAGACCGCTCGGCTACCGTGACCGGCTAACTGGAATAATAGTATAATAAATATTTTGAATCCACAATTGCATACAAGTATTTATGCTAATTGGATAATGGTGGCTCAGCAATTTCTGTCACTAAATGATGGAGGTAAAGAAAATACAGGGAGGATCTTAGGTTTGTCAGTCGGTTCACAGCAACAATTTTGCCAACAAATCAGTTAGCCTATTGGCTGATCACATTTGGAATTAAGGGAAGTTATTAACTTTTTAGACTGCTGGATGGCATTGTGTTTCACAGCTAGCAGTGTGGTTCATACATAGGAATTTGTTTGTGATTTGTCAGCAGTGGGTGGCAGTTATCAGATCCATTAGCGTTTTGTTCCCAATTACAATTAGTGAACAGTGTGTTGCTTCATGGTGCAGTATACTTTAGAGTAATGTGTATTTCTATACAACTCCTACTGAAACACATATGTGCTAAAAAGTGTCACTGAAAATTTCAACACAAATTTTATGATGGAAGAGTTCCAAACAGACAAACAATTCACATTTCGGTAAATAAACTTAGATCAATGGGACTATTAATAGATAAGGAACAAAAATATAAGTGCCGAGTGCTTACTGAGGTAAAGTTAGATGACATAGGACCCAGACTTGAACACAACCATAGAAAATTAATGGAATGTCTAGCTCAAGAGAGTGGAGTGTCAAAGCCTAGTGCAAGAAGAGCAACAAAATTGCTGAAGCTTAGACCCTAAAAGAACAGTAGTCCATGCACGCCTACCAGCCGTGCGATGCATCTAGCAGGGTTCATTTTTGAAGTTTATTTCTACAGTCTGTCATCAAAGGTGAGATCGATCCACAATTGACATTCTTTCCTGATGAAGCCTGGTTTCACTTGCAGGGATACATAAGTACGCAAAGTAATGCAAAATAGTTGCTACTGGAGTTCACATAATCCGCATCTAACCCACAAAACCCTGTTCCATCCAGTGAATCTTGATGTCTGGTGTGCTATAAAGGCAAGGATTGTTGGACCTGTGGTTTCTAACGAAACAGTTAATTACCAGAGATATGTGCAGGCCATTCTTGGGCAATTCCTTCCAGAGTTAACAGAAGAAGAAAGACTCTATGGCTGGTTTCAGCAATACTCAGCTACTGCCCACACTGCACATGTCTTTGCGTGCCCTGTCTGATGACTTCGGGGACAGAATTATCAGCAGTCATATTTGGCCAGCACGTTCACCTGATACCAATCCTTGTGGTTCTTTCTTCTGGGGTTGTTTGAAGGACAGTTTACAGCAGTAACCCCCAAAGAGAAGAACTAAAAGAAAATATTCCTAGGGAAATTACAAATGTTTCTGTAGAAGAGTTTCAAAGGGTAAATCAGAACTGCTTCTGCTGGTGCAAGGAATGTCTACACGTAGAGGGACAGCATTTTCAACACAGCCTGAGTTCTGTGAATTGGAACTACTTCATTCCAAATGTTACTGGCCAACAGTCATATGGACTGATCGGCAAAATTCGTATGAGCCTCGCAGCCAGTGGTGCACTGGTCACTGTGAACCTGTCAATAAATGTGAGAACCTCCCTGAACATTGTAAAAGGTATTAAACGTTTTTAAACATGGTACAAGCATTAGAACATTTTAAATAAATTATTTTATTTGAGTCTGTTTTAAGTTTATGTGCAGCTAACTTACATTTGGAGGAATAAGGGGTCTTAAGAGTGTGCAGTGTGCTGCCAGGGGTTCTCTGGAGTACTTCACTATGCATTGTGATGCTAGGCCTACAGAGACTTGAAGTTTGAGAACCAGTGCCTTGGGTTTTTAAGTAAAGTTTAGTGAATAACACCTGCAGTTCTGTTTATGTAGAGTTTGTAATTTGAATGCACAAAAATGTAAGGTTTCCTGAAGCATCTTGCAGAATATATAGACTGCTTACAGGAGACACCATGGTTATTAATGTTGAGACCATTATGGCAGAATAACTTCACAGATAAAGATAAAATAATGTATGCAGTGTAAACAGTCAGCATCAGATGATTATGTTTACTTGACAGGATCACTGCCAATAATTTATGTAAAGTAAAAGAAAGGTAAAGTTATCCCTGTAACAGGCCGTGAAGGCCCATAGGGTTGTGAGACGTTGAGGGTCCCACATTATTTAGACACTCTGCTCAAAGATGGCGGTAAGGTTGTCAGCCTTACGCGCTGGCCATGCTTTACTTCCCAGGAAAATTATTTAATTAATTCCTGGTACTCATTTCTGTTAGAGGCTGAGTTGACCCCAGGGCTATAGTATGGCTGGAAGGATTAGGTCAATTGAAAAAAAAAATCCAATGATGTCATTGGGACTTGAACCTGCGACCTTCCGGCTTGTAGCATAGTGAAGAAAGCAGTCTTCTGGGATTTGGCACCATGTATATGTGGTGTTAACCGACGTTTCGGAGGAACGTATCGCCTCCATCTTCAGGGTAGAAGAAAAAATATATAAGAATCTGCAAGCAAAGGGACCGTGAGAACCGGTAAAAGCAGACTGTGGGAAAATACGCAGCTATGTGAGAGCAGTGAGGGAGAAGGGGGAAGGGCAAGTATACAAGTGAAAGCAGTAGTGTGGGAGGGGTTGGGGAAGGGAGCTAGGACAAGGGTGGTTTTTGTGTAGGGGAGAGAAAAGGCGAGGTTGAAGGCTGGGCACCACCCGTGAGCTGAGGGGTGGGGGTTGTTATGTTGGTTGGTCATGGCCTGTGTGGCCTTCTGGATCTGGCGTCATATCCCGGTGGGGGTTTTTTAAGAGAACAGATGAGAGGTTTCCAAGACTTGCTCAGACAAAACCCCCCCTCTCTGTTCATATTTCCTGGATGCAGTTCAATCTCAATTGCCTCCCTAATAATGCGATCCATATAGCGGGTCTTGGTGGCGAGGATGGAGGTATTCTGAAGCTGAATTCGGTGTCCCAGATCGATGCTGTGTTCAGCTACGGCCGACTTGTCCGGTTGTTCGAGACGGATGTGCCGCTGATGCTCCTTCAACCTCCTGTCCACGGAGCGGCCTGTCTGCCCAATATAGACCTTCCCGCACTCGCATGGGATACTGTATACACCCGGTGTCCTTAGGCCCAGGCTGTCTTTAACCGGCCGGAGGAAATTGGATAATTTGTATGGAGGCAGACGCACTGCTTTGATGTTGTGTCGGGACAGCANTAGCGGGTCTTGGTGGCGAGGATGGAGGTATTCTGAAGCTGAATTCGGTGTCCCAGATCGATGCTGTGTTCAGCTATGGCCGACTTGTCCGGTTGTTCGAGACGGATGTGCCGCTGATGCTCCTTCAACTTCCTGTCCACGGAGTGGCCTGTCTGCCCAATATAGACCTTCCCGCACTCGCATGGGATACTGTATAGACCCGGTGTCCTTAGGCCCAGGCTGTCTTTAACTGGCCGGAGGAAATTGGATAATTTGTATGGAGGCAGACGCACTGCTTTGATGTTGTGTCGGGACAGCACTCTGCTGATACGTCTGAATATTGTCCCGACATAGGGAAGGAAGGCGACAGAGCCCGGTTTGTCTTCAGGCCGGCTGATGTTGGGCCAACGGTTGAGAACTCTGTAGATCTGCCGGTTGTTGTATCCATTCCTCTTGAATACATCCTTCAGGAGCACCAACTCCGCATTTAGGCTGTCTTGATCACACAGTGCTCTAGCCCTGTGCACCAATGTTGAAAGTGCAGCTTGCTTGTTGGAAGGGTGGTGGTGGGACGCAGCGTTAAGGTACAGGTTAGTATGGTGGATTTGCGGTACACTCTATGGCCCAGGGAACCGTCGGGCAGTCTCTGTTCATATTTCCTGGATGCAGTTCATAGCATAGTGCCTCAACCAACTACGTTACTGCGTGCCCCCAATAATTTATGTTTGTGTGCTAATTTTCAAAACACTCCCCATAACACCTGGCATTGCATTGTCATAAGTTTCTTTGTAGCTTTTCATGTGTGGTGCTTGCTGCTGTCTGCACACGGTTTGCAGATATACCAAGATTGCCCTTTCACTTTTGTTCATGTTGCCAGAATTCTGTACAGAAAATAGTCTTTTCCAGTAAGTCTGCTTAAAGAAGTACTCCAAGCCTATTCCTGTTTTTCTGTCCTCTTTATTGTTTAGTGTATGGGCAGTCACCATAGCCAAATGAAGAAGAGAAAGGAAAACTTCCACTGCTTTACCGATTGTCTCTGGATTGAGTAATATGCCAAGATTTGGTCACACTTGTTAACACCATTTTTGTATTTATTGTAGTCCATAATTGCTGAAAGTTAATTTTCTTTGATGCTGTCTGCTAGATGTCATTGCTTCAAGGAGTCTTGTTATTGTAGGCATTATTTAAAATGCAAACATTCCATTTTATAGTCTAGAAGTGGGGTCTTTGGCAAATAGTTTCTTCCTGTACCTTCAGTTATGCTGAAAATGCCTGTTTAGGTCACTGTTTTCTGTTGGGTAATACTGTGCCCATAGACATTATCTTACATCCCCACAGATAATTGGAAAATTTTGGGCTAGAAAACTCATGGCCCATATACACAGTATGTCTATTCTTGACTTTCTGACAGCCTCTCAGCAGTACTGACTGCCCTCTTGTGATCTGTATCAGTAAGGTTGTGTGCCAGGATATATCTTCTTGTGTGCGTTGCCACTTTCTGCTTCAAACAGCTAGAAAATCTTGATACCATACTTGTGTGACTTCCGTGTCATATATACCTGGAAGAATATGCAATGTGCCCTTGAAATGCAAAAGTTATTCCATTGATAGTGAGTTCTTTATCGGGTGTATACAATTGTCATCAGACTTTTCACTTCTTTGGATTTTACAACAGTAATGTTTTTACAGAGCAAGGTCATCAGCCTTGCATGCAACCCCCAAACTGGAGGACAAGTATCTACAATATATTTATGTCCCCCAGTGACAGAATGGCCCAGTTATACCCCCAGGCACTGGGTTCCCTTTTTGTTGCCTTCTATGACTTCAGGGCTGTTGTAGAGGTATTCTGACCTGCCTCCACCCAGGAAACCAGGCATTATTTTATTTTTAGAATTTTTAAGTCGGGCTTTCTAACATTGGGCTAGTTTTGAATAAAGGATCATAGCCTGGGTATCCCCTGGCCACTTGTGTATCATTATTTCTGATGTGCAACACAGCCAGGATTGCAAGACATGCCAGCAGGTGCTGAGTAATTGTATGAATCTTCTGCTGCAATAATCACGAGCGAATGAATGGTTTTCACACAGATATAGGTGACAATTGCATCCACGCCCCCCACCCCCCACCTTTTTCCTTTTTGTTTTGCATACAAGCAAGCCAGAGAGTGCACATGCCTATATTGCTTCAATTTTGTCACTCCATCCTATTTCAGAATCAGAGTTTGGTTGTTTAGGTTGTGCTCTCAGTCTTCTTTTATAGCCCCAGCTTGGTTCTGATTAAGAAATTTCCCATCACTACTACTGCCATTACACTGAAAGTGTTCTGAGAAGTTCTTGGTGTCAAGAATTTCAGTAAATTCTTCTGAATCATCTCCACTGTTTGCAGCCTGTTGTGTATCATGATTAGTGGTATCTGGCTGTCAAGACAACAGTAAAAGTAAACCAATTGAACTGCTCACATTGGTTTCATTTAATACTTGCTACATGTTTTGGTCAACATTTTGGACCAACTTCAGGCAGTCTTGTCAAATATGTTTCTTGTTATTGATCTGTGCTAATATGGATACATTTTACCGCTGCTCACCACAATCATATAATATATGGAACCATTAGAAAGCTGCAAAAATTTCTCTACCTTTAAAATTTTCAAAATATAAAATTATATAAAATTCTCTTGTCATTGAATGTAAAATTCTATGTTGTTTGTATATTCATGTCCTGCACTGTAGGTTGTCCTATGCCCAGGGTTCACTGTTATACTGTATGTTATATAAACTATTCATGACAATGCTACTAGATTTTAGCTTGTTCTCACATGTCTTCTTGGGTATGCTGACTTGATTTGTTTTTTCCTTAGGGTGTATTGTGTATACTTTTTATATGGGCGTTTATGTTGTGCCTGTTCCTGGTTATAATGTGGACACAGCCATCACTCTCATGGTTGATATGCTGAAAGTGAAACAGGGAGGTGGGGGTGATGATACTGGTACTGTTTGCTTTGACTCGTCACCTGCTACTCCCTTCAGCATTGTTCAACATCCTCGCAGGCAGTTCTTCTTGGGGAACTTATGTAAACAGTCCCTTCTTAGATGGTTGACACCCCCACACTGCCAGTGTATGGGTTGCAGAGTCCTGCGGTGCTTGGTTTCCAGCTGCCGCAGTCCAAGGGGAATTCCATCTCTTACCACCTGTAGCCTCAGGCCCTGGCTGAGGTTCTCATTAAGTTTCTTCTTGCCACTCATGAGAAGACTGATCCCATATCCCATCAGTGGCTGCATAGATGGAGCTGTGTAGGGGTCAGGGAGGGGACCACTTTGAAGGTGATAACATTTCCATTGTGTGATTAGTTGAATAACAGATTTTAGAGCATCAGTCCTGCTATTTTATAGCCACTCCATGTATAACTTAACAGACTTTCCAGCCAGTCCATGATCAGCTGTCATGTTGGTTCCATTTCTATTCCACAGCCCTACTTATGACACTGATTGTCACATGATAATTACACAACAAGTTTAGGCTGGAAATATCTACAAGTCTTTAGGCATTCACAGTTGTCTGCAATAAGCCACTTGACTCCTAACCTGTTCCACCACACTCCATCACAAACTTAATTCTGTGTTGCACTGAGGTAAACAGTAACCAGAGCAACATCATACAACAAGAACAGTGACTTGCCTGGCATGATTTTTTATATCACCTTGTTGCAAACCACCTAGGAAAATCTTTTCCTAACAGTACCTTGACTGTTGTGGCTGGCTTGGGTTTGCTTTTCCATTGCCTAGCAAATGGATGACTGCAAGATTCCTGTGGTTCCAACATGGCAAAATTTACACATTTTAGATGTATATTTATGAAACAGTTTCACAAGTCAATTCAGATACTATACAGCCAGTGAGATGGTGTTTCTTAAAGAAACTGGTTACCATTGCAATGACTCAGTAGTCATGAAAGCTCGTCTGGAAGAAACTGAATTGCTGTATGTAGCCATACTGGCCTCCATTCACTTCTGACACAGAAATATCAGATATTTTAAAAATTGTATTGCAAAGGTAAAGTATTTTGTGTCTGCCTTAGGTACCACATGATGTCATTGCAACAGAGCTTCGACTAGAAGAGGGGCCACTAGAGCAGCCTGTGCCTGAAGACACCTCTACAGTCCAGTCACATGAAAAACCTGATATTCAATATGTTACTCATGTACAGGAGATGAGTAACCTTAAGAGGTTAATATTTTCTATCAGAACCGACATTTCATTGTTAAATGCAAGATTATTAGAGAATATATAACACTATATGATGGAAACGGAGCTTACTGAAATTATGCTCATTTTCAAGTCTGATTGAAGATGTAAACTGCAAACTGCATTTTATTATTTTCTCTATATTTGTCTTTTGGAAATCAATCTAGACGTTGTACTTATTATCCCACATTTGTAGTGGTGCTGGGGCAGGTTTTCTCTGAGTACTTCGGTTTCCCCTGCCAATCTTCTTTCCACCAATTGCACCACAATCATCTTCACCTATAATCTGGGGCTGGTACAATAGACCAGAAGTGGCCGCAGTACAAGGGACTTAGTCCCACCCCACTAGCAATTAAAAAAAATCCCACATTTGTACAAAATTATTACTGGTGGAAGGATGCTTAATTGTGTGTGTTAAGAGTGCACATTGGTTGGCATAATTGAGGTTGTTGGACTAGTTGAACATATAAACATATTTCTTCTCTTCTTCCTTCAGCATTTCTGGTTTCATGTGGGTTATCTAGCAACCATGAAGCTCCGCCTAGCTTGACTTCCTATGTAGTCTTCTTCCATTTTGTTTAATATGTTCTTCCTTTCTTCTGCTTGACATCTCGACCTCACTCTTGGACATTTTCCTTTTAGTTTCATGTTCCATACCTTTGGAATTTGATCTTCATTCATTCTTAAAATGTGCTGTGTTGTTTATTAATTTATCTTCAAATTGTCCATAATTTTTTTTTTCTGTTTCCTATTCTTTCTCTTCTCATTTTCCTTCTGTACTTAAAGATGTCATCGTATAGTTCCATATTTCCATTCCGTATGGTAATATGTGTATGAAGAAACATTTTTCCATTTCAAAAGTATATCCATAACTACGTAATTGGTAAAATTTTTCATTTATTATGAATTCTGTTAAAACATACATCAAACTCTATAATACAGATCAACTGACTGACATAAGAAAATGTTTGAATTGATGGTGGTAAATGGTGTACCATTGTACTGAAATGTGTATTTATCATCAGAGATGGTAAATGCATCTTGTGTGAAATCATCTTTTTGGACATCATGATACCTAATATAAATTCAAGGCCTTCCTAGAAATTCAGGGACAGTGATGTCAGCTGTCAGATACTTTACCCTGATCGTGGAGACTGGATTGCCTCTTAAACATTTGCAGACCAGCCCACCTACTCAAGAAATGATAGCAGAAGTATCTTCTTTAGTTGAGCATACTGTGAAATGTACATAAGAATAACACATAACCATCTGCTGACACAGCTGAAGTTGATAATGAAATGCTAATGTGTTGTGTGTGGTTTTTGTGTTAGGTCTGAACAGCAGCTTGAACTGGATGTAAAAACGATGATTCAGAAACTACAGCCTCTGTGGGATGAAGGGGTTCAGGTCACGTTTAGCCTTATCTGTCCACCAGGCTCTACTGATCGGATCACAGCAATGATAACTTTCGAACTTTTACTTTGTAAGTACCTCACTGAACTCAAAATGCTATTCATAACAGAAAAGAAAATCATTACTGCTGCTGCTACTGCTACTACTATTACTACTACTACCACCACCACCACCACATTATTATTATTATTATTATTATTATTATTGTTATTATTCAAAGAATTTTAGTAATTATACCTTCATACCAGTTTTCCCTGGATTTGGTACGAACTGTAATGCTGAGGCTCTGCATTTCTAAAGGGCCTTCCATAGCNGGGTGGTGAAAAAGACACTGGCATAGTGAGCAGTGAACGAGACACAGAAGATGGGAACTGAAGACACAGGCTGAAACTGATGATAGGAATGGTGATCACAGTGAAACTGAATAAAGGCTAGTGACTTCAGGAAGGAAAGTAGCTCAAGAAATGTCTGTATAACGTGTTCTCTAACATTTATTTCTTCATATGTTTGTAGTCAGAGTATCAAATTAATTAATACAGTCGATTCTGCAAAGAACTAATTGCTACTTTTCTGTGATGTGACGTGGATTGCTTAGAAAACAATGCATCCAGTGTGTACATTTGTTGCCACAGGAATGTGTTTACTGAGTCATTGCCTAGCAGCAATAGGGGGTTGCACAGACAGCAAAATGATCTCATAAGCCACTGTTTATTTTTTCATTATAACAAAAATAGGCTAAAAGCAACACTTTCTGTGCAGGCATATTTCCTAGTGTCCTGCATTCAGAATCATCATCCATTTCAGTAAATGCAGTAGCACACTGAAATGGTGGCTAGTGCTATATATATCATTATAGTGATAAAAGTGATCAAGAGAAAAATTCTTGTTCCTGTCTCAGTTCTTGAAATGTTTCCATATTCTTGTCCCAATCTTCCATCAAACTAAAAATGTCAGCCATCCTTGCACACGCCTAAAAATACCCCTCCCCACACCGAAATCATTGCACTTCTGTAGAAGCAGGTTTTTAATTTATTGCCGTTTTTGTCACATGTCACATAGAGAATGTTAGGATAGATTGCACTGCTACTTTGGGCAAACCATTTTTTTTTTTTTTGCTAATGTAACTTCAATATGAGTTATAACAGGTGTGTAGATTTTTCCGTAACTCTTTAATACTGAGGTAATCACAGCATTCACAACAGCTATATATCATAAATAAATAACAAATCAAAAATATATCCTGGCACCATCTCATTACTCTAAACGCAAAGAAACCTTACATCCATTTTTGAGAGTTCTAAAACTTAAAACTTTCACTAAAAGTCTAACCTGTAGCCCCATTTATTTAGACAGGAAAGGTCATAAACTGGTAATACATTTTATGTCTTGCAAATTTTTACTGGTTACTTTAGATTAATTAGTATACTGTCACTATTTTTCAGAAAAGAGGGAAGTTAGGTGTGTTTACTTGGCTATCTTATTCTATATGCTAGCAGCTGTAACAATATGAATGAAACATGTAAGTTTACCGGTTCTCACGGTCTCTTTGCTTGCAGATTCTTATATATTTTTTTTTCTTCTACCCTGAAGATGGAGGCGATACGTTCCTCCGAAACGTCGGTTAACACCACATATACACAGTGCCAAATCCCAGAAGACTGCTTTCTTCATGAATGAAACAGTTCTCATTTTTTGTAAGCTGACATTAGAGGAGTTAGGTCATTGCATACTTTTTTTATGGAAGTGAATGTCTGTAGGAATGTTGCAGTGCTCCAGAACAAGAATGAGTATTACATATTAAATTAAAAGTATTTAAAAGGTAAATGGTTTATGGTAGCTTTAGAAAGTTCCAGGACAGGAATTGTATCTTAAATATGGTGTCACTAAGAAGCACTTAAATGCCTTTGAAACAAGGACATTTCCTATGTCACATTCCTCTTTTGATCTCACCAGAAATTCATTGATCCCTTTGATGATGGTCACTTCACATGAAGATGTGTCAGTTTTGGGACTGTACAGGAAACACCAGGTTTTGTCACCTGTCACGATTTTTCAGAGAGAGTCTGAATTTTTATCTGCCATGTTCATGAATTCATCACTGAACCTCGTGGTTGTCATAGTATTCCTGTATCAGCATCCTTGGTGTAATGTATTGGCAGGCAGTGCACCTTCAGATTCTTACTGAGTACACTGTAGCACCTACCAAAATTACAACTTTCTATGGAGTTTTCTGTATCTGACAATCAACAGAGCACACTCATCTCACCCAATTCCAGTCATGTGATATACACCATCCACTGTTCTTAAATCTCTGATGCATCTCAAATGCCTTGCATGTCCACCATTCAAAGCACCTCCATTATTTCAGTGTTCATGTAAGGACATATATAAGAGCAGGCTCCAGTCCTATCTGCTGCAGTGTCACTTAATTGCGTCTGTTCTGGGACTTTTCAAAACTAACATTTAATGTCCCAATATTTTCACCCATTTTAATGCTTATTAATATTGTAGAAAGCAATATTATCTAACTGTTCTATCCTGTTGCAATGCATTTATCGTGCAATTATTGACAGACATTTAGATATTTTCTATGTTTATCATGTTTTAAGCACATTTTATTAATTCCAATTAATTACATATATATTTTTTTTCTAGATATGCATCATCAAAATGTGGTGCTTCTCAGACAGAATCTGCAGATCTGCCCTCCAGTAATTCCACGTGAACCAGTTATAATCCATTCTGTACATTGAAGTGTACATTTTCCATTACTCAGACCTTCCCATGCAAGTGTAGTTGTTACCTAGGGTATATAATCATAGCTTGGTAACTACTATATGTTTGTAATTTCACTCAGTGGAATAGTTATCAGACAAAAATATGTAATAATTTATAAAACTAATTCATGTTAAAATTAATATCACTTTTTAGCTTAAGTAGTATTCGGCTGAATGAATACTGTAACAAATATTCTATTTACTATAAATTAATACTATTTTACAGTAATACTAGAATGTAAAATTAAATATAATTATTTTGTACTGACATGTCTGGGGGTGAGACTTAAGAGCTGATATCTAGCCATGTATTAAATCACCCTGTACACTCCCCAGATGGAACACAAATTAGTTTTTTATACTGTTCAGTTCCTGTATTTAAACATGCCTCTGTCTATGGGGACAGATTAGAAGGTACATGCACACAGTCCTGTTCTGAAGGGTAAGGCATAGTAACATGGCGGTCACTTCACAAGTGCACAGCTATCAAGAGAGGATTATAAGTAGAGGCTACTGCTGTAGATAATGAGTGGTGGTAATCTGAACATGACACTTCTTGGTAACATGGTATTGCAGGGAAGCTTACATAGTTACCTGGTTTATGTGTGCAGAATATGTTAATGGCTTAACCCTTCAATGCACACAGCATGCCAGCCTTCCTTTATATATCACTGACCAACATATGTAGCTTCCCTGATACCACAGGAAAATTCAGCTCTATTTTAATATCCAGAGAAGCAGGCAAGGCATAAATGTCCTATGGCATTGAGGGTTTCAAGCCTGGCAGTTTGTAAAAGTATGCAGAATAACACACAGTCCAACACAGGAACAAATACAGAGGTTTTAACACAAGATCTTCTCTGTACAGTACCAGGCTTATATCAGATGATTTTCATCTGTTGAGGCCCTCAAAGAGATACTTAATTGGATGTCAGTTTGCCGCTGATCAGATTATGCAGCTCAACAGTTGTTATATGCACAGAACATGGAATTCTTTGAAAATGGCACTGAACAGTTACTTCCTCAGAGGAATAAATCTTTGAACCATATTAAGTACTGCAGGATAGACACTGCATGATATTTACTAAAACAGATTTTGTTTTCACCTATAGGCCTTGTTTTTTACATTCTGATAGTCCCCAATTTTACAATATCCCAAATAACTTTTTATGTTCTCAAAAAGAATGACTTTTGTGCCAGTATTTGGCTAGTTTTAATTAAACTGTGAATTAACATCAATTTTCTGGATTTAAATACACTCCTGCAGCACTGGCAGTAATCAGACTATGCTGTAAACAATGAAATGCTAGACCTCAACCATTGCATGTGTCAGCACAGCTGTATTATGCATAAACACTGAAAGTAAGTCACAATATGTGTTCCACCAGAAACTAAACCACTGTCTCGGAAATGGTTTTTAATATTATAATGCAGATGCAACAAAATATGAGAATTGTGACTCACTTTACCTATAGTTTAATATGCGTATGAAGCTTCATCTCTCACCCTAAAGAGCCCCAGATTAATTGCTGAAGAGAAATTTGATATAGTGTAATGTTGGTTCTTTTAAATTGGAATTTTTGTTATTCTGAATTCGGTAATAAAGAATAGAATACCTTTTTATTGAAAGCTGGTAGTGAATGAATAATATTTTGTCAATTTTATATTTCTGGTAATTTGTGTTTAATTTTAAGAACATTTTGCTGAGTAGCAATAATGTAGGACTTTTGAACCTAGAAAAATAGATTTGTGTAAATATCATTCACTGATTTATTTTGTATTTACTGCAGCATTCAGTGAGATGTGATGATTTTGAATGATAGACTGGGAAGAATGGCAACAAGACTGGTCGTGTCCTATTTCAAGGTGCTGCTCTTCTTGAACATCGGAAAAAAGTGAAGGCCCTGAAGAGGTCTGTCTTCTAGAATATAACACCATGCATTCCATTAAAGTTAACCGACATTTCAGAGGTGACAGGTTCATCTGAAACATTGGTTGACTTTGAATGGGCTACACAGCATTATGCCAGTAGAAAGATCTCTTCATAACCACAGATCTGGAACCTCAAATCCTACACAGTGGAAACCCTGTTAGGCACAAACCTATTCACTGGCCCAGTACCTCCCAAGCACTATTCTTATAGAAATACATAAGCTATCACTGCCAACTTAACATTTTTGTAATGTTTGAGTCGGGGCGGTGGGGAGACCACTCTTGGAGTATATAAAAGATAAAATAAGTTTGGGGAAGATGGGTTCTGTGAAATACTACCTGTGTTGGACTTTTAATTAAAACTGCAGTCAAGAAGCATGTGGTCCTTCTATATTGGCAGTCATCAAATACATTAGACAGTACTAGCAACTGATATTAAATTCAATTTTACTGGTTCACAGGTAGATCATGTATTCTTTACTTAAATTTTCAGAGGGGTTAACCTTTATATTTTTGGTTTTAAACTTTTGGTGGCAGCCATATTTCATGAGCAAGAAGTTTTCAAGATATAAGCAAAATGGAAATGCAGATGTGCCTTTCAGCAGTTCCTGTGGCTCTTTGGCCTGTTGTGTGTCCAGGCTATGTAAACACTAGGAACATGTGTTCAAATTCCACTCAGGACATGAACTTTTCCTGCGTGTTTTGCATTTTTGTGATGGTACAAGTCCTTACATTGGACTGATCCCCTTCACCTGACTTGTCTAATAATATTTAAGAAACAGCTGTGACAGGCAGCCAAGGCTACACATGCCGCCAAAAAGATGGTTGTGGATTCTACCTTTAATACATATTATAGTTGCAGCCAGGTTAGCTGAGTTAGTATAGTGACTAAAAGACTGGATGACCAAGGATCAATTCCTGATGGGGAGATATGTCCAGACCAGCTTCCTATCCAATGGATACCAGGGGCCCTTTCCATGGTAGTAAAATGGCCAGGGCATGAAGGTTACCGGGGCATGCGGTAGCGCAGTTGGTTGAGGCACTATGCTATAAGTCACAAGATCATGGATTCAAGTCCTGAAGAGGTAACTGGATTTTTCAGTTGACCTAACTCTTCCAGCTGCACTATGGCCCTGGGGTCAACTTAGCTTCTTAACAGAAATGAGTACCAGGAATCTTCCTGGGGGCTAAAGAGCGGCTGGCAAGGGTGACAACCTCACCACCATTTCTGAGCTGACTGGAAAATGTGGGAGCCTCAATGTCTCACAGCCTGTTACAGGGATAGCTTTACTTTTTTATGAAGGTTACCACTCACATCCATCTAATGTAGAGATTAACGCTGTGTGCAGCTCTACCTCCACTTCCACATATATCATGGCATGGTGCTTAAATTAAGGATAGAGACAGCTTTCTTACAACTATTATGTTATATAGCTAGAACACAAATTACAAGTTTGTTCATTTTCACACACTTCCTAAGGGTTACTTTCTATCTCCAGGGTAAAACTTGCTCTGCAAACTTAGATTTGAATAACCCCATAATAATTATGCAAGCAGTAATGTTTATAACAGTTTGGAGATACTGTGTGGCCTAAAAGATGTCCACATTTAGAAGCATCATTAGAACACAAGTCCAACATGCTCAGGTAATGTCAACATTAATCAGTCATAAAGCAGTCATTTAAATACACATGAACAAACATGCATGTTTGTCACACTGTAGCTGTATTCTTCCAAGAGCTTAAGAAGTCGGTTCTTATACCATGGATAAGATTTCAGTAGTAAAATATGTGGGTAACCTCTCAGGNTCAGTTTAATTTACTTCTTCCTATGGTATTGTCCCATTAATTCAGTAGTATAATTTATTCTCTCCAATATGGATTTCAGAGTTAATTTTATCTTCTGTATTTAATCTTGTATATTACCAGCTATTACTGGCATTACAACCAATCAGTGGTTCTCTTTCTGGAATTTGTTCCCTGGAAAGAAAAGAAAAGCTGTAATTAAGAAACACATTTTCTGTAACATACTCATACGTGTACCTGGTTTTGTCCTATAAAAAGATGTGGACAGCATTCCTGGCTCATAGTCAGCAAGTCCCAGGATCAAAGTTCCCTCTAAAGACTCACTGTCTTTACTGAAGGTTGTATGGTTTTCCTCATTTGCAGCATATAAATTCCCTATCTTTGGCTTAAATGACATCCTAAGAATCCACAACCACCAGCATACTGCATGTCTTATGATTTTCATAGTTACTTACTTACTCATGAAGCTGAGTCCTTTGAGGAGCTGCCAATTCTGCAGCTACTCAAGAATTTCCCAGCATTTTATGGAACATGAAGGTTCATTACAGTGTTCACAAGAGCCCTCCACTGGTCCCTGTCCTGAGCCAGATCAATCCAATCCATACCATCCTCTCTAACATCCATTATAATATTGTCCACCCAATTACAACTTGGTCTTCCCAGTGATCTCTTTCCTTCTGGCTTTCCCACCAATACCTATATGCATTCCTCTTCTCCCCCATGCATGCTACATGCCCTGCCCACCCAATCCTGCTTGACTTGATCAGTCTAATTATACTTGGAGAAGAGTACAAATTATGAAGCTCCTCAATGTGCAGTTTTCTCCAACCTCTTGTCACTTCGTCTCTCTTTGGTCCAAATATTCTCCTCAACACCCTGTTCTCAAACACCCTCAGTCTATGTTCCTCCCTTAATGTCAGAGACCAAGTTTCACACCCATACAGAACCACAAGCAAAATTATAGTTTTGTAAGTTCTAATTTTTATGTTTTTTGGACAGCAGATGAGAAGACAAAAGGTTCTGGACTGAGTTCAATCTCTTAATTTCCTCCTCAATCAGGATTTGATTTGTTATCATCGTTCCCAAATATCTAAACAGCGCCATATTTTCAAAACATCTATTTTCTATCTTTATGTCATGATTTCGCCCTGCATTTTGGTGACAAAACAGCAACACATACTTAGTTTTCTCTGTGTTTACTTCTAGACTGACCTCCTTACTTGTGTCAAAGTCTGTGTGTTTTTCTTTATGGTATCTATATTATCACCCAGTAGATTCACATCATCAGCAGAGGCCAACAGCTGATGTGTCCCATTTCATTTCAGTCCCACCTGGTTTTCCTGGACATTCTAATTCTAAAGCAAAGTTGAAAAGGAGTGGCGATAAAGCATCTCCCTGTTTTAGACCATTCTGGATAGGAGATTTATCAAACAACTCNAAAACAGCAACACATACTTAGTTTTCTCTGTGTTTACTTCTAGACTGACCTCCTTACTTGTGTCAAAGTCTGTGTGTTTTTCTTTATGGTATCTATATTATCACCCAGTAGATTCACATCATCAGCAGAGGCCAACAGCTGATGTGTCCCATTTCATTTCAGTCCCACCTGGTTTTCCTGGACATTCTAATTCTAAAGCAAAGTTGAAAAGGAGTGGCGATAAAGCATCTCCCTGTTTTAGACCATTCTGGATAGGAGATTTATCAAACAACTCTTTACCTATATGGACTTTACTATACATTTTGTTTAAACACATTTTAATCAGCCTAACTGAATCATAGGCTTTTTTGAAGTCTACAAATAGCTGTTGTACTCCTATTTTTCTCCAATATCGACGAATGCAAAGATCTGATCTGTTACATCGAAACCCACACTGATGATCCCAATAATTTCATCTATGTATGGACTTAACCTTGACAGAAGAATACTGGATAAAATTTAGTATGAAGTTGATTTTCTTGCAGTTACAGATATTAAATTTATTCTGTAATGCAACCTTCTATTAATATTCAGGAAAATTTTAAAAGCCCCAGGAAATGAGAAGCTAAGTGACCAGTTTATAGTTCACCATTTGTGGTACTATAGTTTCCAAATCTAACTGAAGAATTTAAGGTGATAACAGAATGGAGATCAATATATGTAAGATTGTAGTAGTAGTAAGTGCTTTTTCATATGCCGAGCCATAGCTCAAGTGGTTAGTCACTGGCTTCCCACTGCAGCAGCCTGGGTTTAATCCCAGGTCTGGTCAAGTGGGATTTGTGGTGGACAAAGTGGCACTGGGACAGGTTTTCTCTGAGTACTTCAGGTTCCCCTGTCAATATTCATTCCACCAAATTCTCCATCATCATAATCACCTGGGGCAGGGTACAAATAGGCCAATCAGTGGCTGCCGTGCCGAGCGGACCCAGTTGGACCCCACTCCCCACTAAGAGATTTAAAAGAAAAAAATTAAATTTAAAGTGCTTTGTCATACCAGTAGTCAGAGTCACAGTAATTGTAACAAAAGATTTGAATAACTGTCTGAAAGCAATACCAGGAAGGTATTCAGTACATTCATTACAAAAAAAAAAAATAGCTGTACTAGAAACACTGCACATAATAAGGAAGTACTGCAATCTTGAAGACTGAATAGTTGGGTTCAGAATTGATCCAAGAAGAGAAATCCAAAGAGATACATTAACAGACCGGCTTGTTCTGGACCTTAAAAGATATGAGGATGAGTGGCAGCCAGCTAACCAAAAACCTGAACAATAACTACACAGAAGAGAATGTGTACATACCTTCATACTCGTATTGTAGCAAGAAGTCGACCTGATGAAACTCATAAAATTTTTTATTAATCCCCATGATGTCTCTTAGCATATCATTTCCCAAATCACACAAATCAAAGTCTTGCATATACCATTTCATGTCAACAGGAATCAGAGGTCAGTCCAGTTCAAAGTTGTTATTGTTACTTTGCATGAGAGTCGAGATTCTAACAACAGTGAATATTAAGATTATGATCAGGGATATGGTGGTATGTAGACTGGTAGATGGTACCAATATCTTGGAGGAATCTGTCACATCCATCTTCAGGGAAGAAATGAGCCTAATGGATAAAAGTCGGAATATAGGGTACAGCAGACTGACGGAAGAAACCTCTGCAACAACCCAAGTTATTTCAAATTGAGCCTGTGCAGGTATCTCCTTACCAGAAGCAAAAATCACTGACTTTCACCTTCATAGTAGTCACACCTGTAGGTCACAAATTTGTAAGCACTGTACTAATAATTTTATGTGAGCATGCAGAGCATCAGCTGTTTACATGTGCAGTGAGTGGCTTCTGTGATATATAACAAGCATGCAGCTATTGCCTGGTCACTTCCAGTGTTCTGAAGTACCAAGTGTTCCAACACCACATATCCATCTAGACTATCTGCATCACTTCCACTTATAAAGCTTAAGACCAGATATGAAAAGAACACTGGGAATTTAGCAACAAGTGTATCAAAGCAGATTTACAGAATCCTTCAGAACACTTAACCTTTACTGTCTGGATTTAAATCCACTCCTATGAATTTAAACTTAGCAGTAATGGTATTTACATTGTAAAGATGGCTACACTAGACCTGCCGGGACATGATGAACCAGTGCCATGTGCTGGCATAGTTACATGATGGATAAACACTGGGGTAACTGCATAATGCATAGAAATGCAAATATTTGCTGTTGCAGCTTGTAAATGATGTCTGACACATTTCTATTTAAATACTTCATCACCAACCAACATCAGTTGTGTTGTTAATGAACAAACAATGGAGAATATAGCAAAAGGCAGATAAGTAGTAGAGAAATTATTCAAACAAATATCACAACTCCACATATAGCTTGGTGGGGAATTATGGGAGAAAAGTGAATGTCACTACAAGATGAGATTTTATACATAATATTCAATAAAGGATTTTTGCAACAGTAATTTCAGTGCTTTAAGTAAGTTTAATTGCTTCATTTCCTTTAAATCACAATTAATGTTACTGTATATAGATGATCTGGTACATAAGCACATACATATCACATATTTCAGTAGCAGAACATGTTATTGGAACATTTATTCATACTTCTCCTTTCCCAGTATGCAGTAAATTATATGTAAATACTGTCCTTGAACATATGAAAGAGCCAAAACAAATAAAGGCCAACATATGAGTACATAAAACAAGAAGTTACAGGCATGCATAATAATCCTGAGTTATGGCTGATGCTACTGAATCAGCAGAGCTCTATAAAGGTTCGGCCACACAAGCGCTACGTATGCTATGTTCGCTATACGAACAGAAAAATTTCTCCCTTTATTGCCAATGTGACTGGCGACACAGATTTCCGTATGCTACATACGCTATGTTCCCTATGTTAGCTGTGTCGCAGAGTGTACACAGTGTACATAGCAAACATAGCGTAGCGCTCGGTGGCCAAACCTTAAAGGGAATCTTCAAATATCAGGTACCTGATACATGTCTGCAGATAGTATTGTAGTAATCACATAGTACTTCATTATTCAGAGGTATTAACACAGCACTCACAAAAATAATATAAAATATACAGCCACAAAATTAATTATGTTTACACTGTGCACAACTTGCCAGATTTTTCCAGATACTCTTCCATTATTTATCACAAATTCAACAACAATGGCTTTTTTTTCTTAGCTTTCTGAAAATGCAGGATTTGCAGTCACATCAATGTTACAACTGCAAATTTGAATTCATCCAGTTCCTTTTTCTGAAGACCTCTTGGCTCCTCTATAAAATTACACATATACACATACACACAAGTTGAGCATACAAAGATCTTCCTCTTCTTTGGCACAAATACCTGGGACTACCAGAAAACTACTGCAATAGCATTTCATAAAATACAGTTTATGTTTACGGAATGACATTGATCAATTTTAATACATGTCATTATACACAAATAGCACCAACAAAATTTGAAGATCTGCCAGAGAATAGAGTATATGGTGTCCTGAAAGAAAGAAGGAAAACAGTTAACCACATAAATGTTTCCATATATCTCATTAGCTGTTAAATTATTTCTAAAGGATAATTAAATTTATCTCAGAACATTACTTTTTGTACATCATAAATTTGCAACTTGAATATAGCTACATGGTAACACAATAATAATAGTGCAGTAGTATAGTAATCTATAAATATCCTGTATATTCTTACAGAATTTGCATCAACCTTTGTAGAGCATATGGATTATGAAGCTGAAAACAGACTCCCTCAAAACTACCTGTACCCTATGATTTTGTACCCTGTTATGGGTACAATATCCTTAACTCAGCCCGGAATACTGCATCAGTATCACCCACTTACTATTAACAGTATTGTCAATATGGGAATGAGAAGCCATATTCTCTCTGTACTTAACTGTTTTGACTCAATTTGCTATTTTGGAATTTCATACTACATACATTCCTGTCAGCTGTAGTTGTTACCAATTACCAAGCTCTTCCCACTAAAACAAGCAATTCAACTGCAGTCCAGTCTGTATTCATGGTATTTACCAGACTAAGGTTTGCATCCTGTTTTCTTTACTCAAAATGCTCTATTAACTCACTGTTGTGAATAAGAAATTATGGGCAGGAACAGTCTCTCAGTCAAATATCACATTTTAGATCTAGAAAGTATTGTTGCTTATGTGTTTTGGACATTCAGATTTTATGTTGAAGATAAGTAAGAAAGATCCATTAACCCTTCAGAATCTCCATTTCTTCCACATAATCTATATACAGTTACATACATTTTCCACTCCTTGCCAGCTGGAATAAGTTAATGGTAACACTGATGAAGGTGCCACTTGACAGCTCTATTATGAGAGCTGCCTACACAGGATATATGTGAAGCAAATAATTAAAAGGAAGACATAAGTCAGTAAAACTCAGCAATTGCATTTGCATCAGTGGGAGCAGAGATTAATCACCACCTGGAAATGGTCCATACTGTTTCCAGATTTACTACTTGGTCTCACTGCTGTACCCAAATGAGGCAAATAAGGCAGGATGGGAACAACTTTATATGGGCAAGTCTGCTGAAGCAACAACAAAACAGCTTTAAAACCTATCAAACCAAAGGTGTATGACCAAAATAATGCAATGATCAGACAAGATGCTGTGACAAACTAACCCATCTGGTGAGTCATATAAATGAATGCATCAAATTAAATGAGATATATGAATAAATAAATAAGATACGGTGATATTTAATTAGAGACCTCTAAGGCCTGCTAGAATGGCATATGTTATTCCATGTACAGCTAGTATACAGCTGTCCCATTTATCTTGTTCACTTAAAATAACTCTATAAATCAGTTATATATGTAAAGTTATCCCTACACTTAATCAAACACTGTGTCATGAAGCATGGGGAAGTTAAAATGTAGCTTCACCATTCTTGACCACAGCACTTGATGGAGACAGGCTGCATCAAATGAAGATTGTTTGGTTTTGAGGATGACACATCATACCATATGAAATTTGTTTTATAAGTTTTCACGGACTTCTTTAAATGGCACCTATACTTTGTATTTGCCAAATTCAGAAGTGTCATAAAGCACCATTCTGATTAAACAGACTGTAAAAATATGCAACAATAGTCAAATATCTGAAATATCAACCTGAATGATGAACTCGGTATGCTCCACTGCTACTGATGCCCAACTTGTTGAAGCCATCATGGTCATCTGCAGCCCAGTAGCACACATTTCTGATTTTCATTTGTCATGATTTGTTAATATAGATTTATCAGTTAAAAGAACTTTTAAAAAAAGGCCTGATCAGTCTGCAATTGTTGCTGTGCCCAATGACAAAATTGTACACAATGTTGAAAATAATTCCCATGCAGTTCCTGGTGCACGGATACATGGTAGGTGTGAAACATATTTGACAATGTGGTGTACATTTGTTTTAGAAATTCCAGAAGAACTTTCAATCTGTTGAGTTTCAGACTGCTCCTAAAACAGTAACTTCAACAGCTCTATCCACATGAGCCTTACACTGATTTTGTTTCTAAGGATTAGTACTTCATGTTTCACACAAGTTCTTATAATAAGGCAAAATATACTTTCAAGTGATTGAGAGATTATATACTGGGTTTGGATTGGTAACTGGAGTTAATGAACTCCTAAAGAACATAACTTCAAATGACTACAGCGCTAATGTTAATTCACATACACTGCAGTTCACTACAGCACATATGAAATCTTCTCAGTTCACTGTATCTTCACTGGTTGTTGCCTGGTAATGGCTTCCAATGCCACAGCTTCCTCAGCTTCCATGTTCACTTCCTTACTGGCCAGAGACTGCCTCACAACCAACTAAACTCTGGACTTGTCCTGCTTACAACACCTTCGCATGGACCTCACATAAAACACCTCTCCCAACAGTTCTTCTATTGTTGCATCATAGTTATTGCATGGACCATGTAGAGAACACCACTTCTCAGTTACTTCATTGTTACATGTTACAAATCTGTTGCCTAGCAAGAGCTCTCTGTGCTGGCTTCACAGTTGTTATCCTGAGCAAATATGCCACGATATCAAGATGGTTGACTCTTTTCAGGATATCCCATTCCCCATAGATTAGAAGCATTTAAAATTTATCTTCATTACTGTACACCATGATTTGAAGCTTTAATATTCACAGCAGTACTGCCTGCTTATGTCACTGACACTGATGAAATTTTTGTTTTCAAAATATAAATGACCATGACTATTAAGCATGAGATGTGCTGCGTCTTACTATGTTCTAGCAATGTGAATGACACAGTGAAACATGACAAGTTCTCACTGAGAACTGTACTTCATACCACCTTGCAACTTTCCAAATATCTGATTCTTGCTGCCTATTGTTAAGCTCTCTGAATCAAAATGGTAATCTGTAATTAATGAATTTGTCAAGTAAAAAATAACAGTGTTATCTGAAAAAGTTCTAGTGACCCTGATATCTTATTAACAAAAAATTATATAAGCAAACTGTATAAGCTATAGTGTGTCTCCTTTGAAACCAAACAACTTTTATCCCCCCCAAAAATTTTATTCAGTGCTGAATAGAAGGGTTATTTCAAATGATCAAGATAAATAGGGCACTATACAAAAAAACTTTAGTTTGTATCTCAAGGGAAACACATTACATCTCCACTACAAAGACTGGCCACTTAATGCTGGTTAGGGAAACAAGCGCAATCTATTTTGAGAATCATATGAAGCACAGAAATACACTGTATGACCAGAACGCAGAGATTGTGTATTTTAAGGCAGATGGTACATACAGAAACACTGGGCTTCAAAGGGTTAATCCACTGATGGACAAATGAGTTGTACACACCTTCCAAGTTCTTTAATAATTTTCATATATAATGCACCAAAAGCTCTTCTGTCACCTATTCAATCCCAATCCAAATATCCTAATCTTGTATATTCCATCAGATTTGATAATTTGTGCTTCAAGCCACTAAAGTGATGTTTTCCCTATCTGAAATCACAACAGTATACTGAAGTCACTGCTTACCACTATTTCAACAGCCCAAGGCTAGTTACATGCAACCAACTGGCTGTTACCAGTTACCATGCAAAAATTCACCTCAACACTGACATTTTAACAAAACAGGCTAGCATAGTGGTAACATTCTAGCCTCGTATGTGGGAGGTGCTCAGTTCAAATCTTGACCAGGATGCTTGTTATTCTGAGCTTTATCATGGTTTTCTGCAGTTCCTCCTGGCAAATGCCACATTAGTACTTCAGTTAGGCCATGACCACTTCCTGCCAAATCCTTTCCAATTCATCTTGCATCCTACCATTCAACACTATACAGCTGTGTAAAAATAGCCCACAAAGAAACTAATATTTTAGAAGCATAAAGAAAAACTAGGAAACCCACAGTTAGGATTTTCATACAGAACAATTACAAGATAACTGAGTCTGAAACCCTGTCAGAAATATGTTATTCAGTTTGAATAGCACTGAATAAAATTTTACACAAGAGCAAGTTCATCTTACTTGATAACATTCCTAAAAAGGCTAATTCTGACTTACATTTCACATCATATCCTTACTGTCCACCAGGAATTATTATTATTAGTATTATTATTATTATTAATGGTGTGATCGTACAGAAACTGGAAAATAGCTCTCTTGCTTATTTCATCCACTTGCTGCCAATTTCACAGTGCTTTATGAAAAACACAAAGCTTAATTAAATCTAGCATGAAAAATTTTTAACTCCAGCCTATTAAAATACCTGATTCTGGTCCAGAGTTTCTGTGGCTAGTGGAAGCGACTTCTTGTCACAACTGTAACAGGGCTGAAAACGGGAATTTTAAAATGAGAGATGAATGATACCTATTTTCCCCATGCACAGGCAAATGACCACATAGCAAACAACAAAACACAATTTCCTATTCCTGAAAGCATAATGTGCAAGCAGTTTGTACTCATGGAACCGAGACCCAGAATAGCCACATTAACTTTTGCAAATAACCGTTAAATGACATGTGAATTAATAATGAATGTTAGATAAACATTGTTTGTTTCTGGTGTCTGAAGTCCTCTCTCCTGCATAAATATGGGGACAGTTGTAAGCATTAGTGATGTGTCAACAGGTAGAAACTTGAAAACAGTGCTATACATTATTAATACTCTTTCTGTTTACATTTCCTCTCTGCCAAAATATATGCACTGCCGCCTCTTGAACATGGATACCAAGGGAACTCTTTTCTAGAACCAAGTGACCAGAGCATAAAACTGACCACATACTGCCATCTACTGTGAAAGTCAAGAACACAGAGTTGCAGCTTCATTCCCCATGAATCTACACATCTTCATGGCTTCATGGCATGATGTTCAAGAAGGAACAATTTTACCTTCTTGCTTTTGTTATTAATATTTCACTCATACAGATATACACAGAAAATATTACAAGCATAAGGCGGATTACCTGACTATTGCAATTAAATCACATACT